ATGAAGTGGCAGTTTGCACGAAGAACCGATCATCTGTAAATCAGCGAGACATTACAGTGTGTTTCAAGAAAAGATAAGCGTCCCGTAGCAAGATCTCCTAACCGATGGTAGGATGAGCAGAAGAAGTTCGATGGATCATGATGAACAAGAATCGTACAGAACAGAAATGCATGGCAGAGTCTTGGAGAGACGATCCATCTACCAATACATCGAACGAGGCTGATTATGAAGGCACATATTTACATGATCCTACCGTTCACGGTTCCATTTCATTGAAGTCTTTGGCATAATCTAATTGAAAAATATTCAGAGTCTGTTTTGGCGGCTGTTTCTTCGGTGTGGTCGTGGCCATATAGCCGAAAAGCGATCGGCCTGTGATAATCACGAAGCTTATGCATTGCTACACCTGGGCATCCATTTTAGCGATTTGCCAAATATCGTGTTCGAAATTCAGACAGGTTAATTCATTCTAGCAATTTCCTATGTTAGCCTTCAGTTAAACGCATACGGCTACATAAACAGGCCCCGCAATAACGTGTTTCGCTTTACGGAGAAAACTGGCGGCAACGCAGAGCACACAGTGCCTCAGACAGTTCTAAAAGGAACCGGCAAAACTTGTCTGTGCATCACTCACCTATTGGAATTCCTGTTCTTTGATAGAAACGACTATCTAATTGGCAATTTGAAAATTGACCTCAGCCTTCTGCTTCAAACCGATGAATTGGATTGGACCATTCTCCGTTTTATAAATGTGCAGGTCTGAAATTAACGTCCAAATTTGTTATCGTTTTTTCTACGCTTATATTAAATTCTTTGTTGTTACCTATTCATAAATACGTTAGAACGTTTCTGATTCTGGACCCGTTAGTGAAATCACAAACGCGTTGCCAATTCGTGGTGCCGAAGGCATCAGGCGACAGAGATTTGGCACTTTTCTTACCAAGTTCGTATCAGCACCCCAATAACTATCGATAAAGCAGTCCCTACATATTTTCGCGACGAAAAATCGCATCTGAGATGAGCATTCCTCCTCTGTTGTGATAAATGAAAGCTATAGTGCTCTTACGAACTTCGTAGGAAAATTTGGAAACATGAAATGAGTGGCAGAGATCAAATTTTGAAGCTTACGGTTATTAATCTGCTGGTACAAACCTGACATCTGACAGCCACTCACTTATTTAAGGCGGCTAGTAGCTAAAGTGTCAAAATCTGTGTAGTTTTCTTCCTTCATCGATGAATCGGCGACGCATCTGTTACGTATTTATATGCCCGGAGTTTTTTTGTTCATTTAACTTATTTTTTAATTTATTTATTGACTGCG